GCTTCTGTGAGGAGTCTTCGAGCACTGGCTGCTCTCATCTTTGTCCAGACATTGATTCTAGACGGTAACAGGTCGAATGCAACCGACATCTTGGAATCGTATGATGTTTTTGGCCCATCCTGCCCTCCATTTCCTTGGAAATGTAACAGCGCTCCTTATGTTTGATCTGAGTTTGGAGCTCCAAGGAGCTTTTTGCCTTGGGTACTTGGAAGAAATCGTGCATGCACTGCTATTAGGTTGTCCGGAAAGTTTTGAGAAAATTTCGTACTCTTAGTTTGAAGAACTGTAGCAAGCGAATGGCCTAACCCAAAGGCGTATATGAAGTGCTATGAGAAAGAGAAATGTTTGTAGATCAATCCAATACTAGTTAGTCTTATTCCCCACGGTTGGTATGACTTACACATTACCTGAAAAATGTACGAACGCACACGACTCCCAACGCCTTCTACTTCATCTTCACCGTTCTGGCTTCTCTGACGGTCAAATCGGGAATGAGGAACCGTCACCGATGCTGGATAAAACGCGCTTCAAAACTATCTACAGCATAAGATCAATCGGTCTCTTACGTGGAAGTTAAGCTTGGATATTGCGTACGCCTCCGCATGTTCGGTACTCAGTTCATTCCAACTCCCACGCAAAGTAATCCCGCCGAAAAGTTAAGGGAACTGGGATGGACAATGTCTATTATAAGTATGAACCCCCTATCTCTCATTGTTGTCGATAGGTGTTAAATGAGCTGGTTGAAATTTCTCAAAACTTTCCGGACACCCTAATATTTACGCAGTGCTTTGAATGAACTGCTTGCTCATGAGTAAAGATAAGGTCTCCACGTTAGGGACACATTACCCATCGCCCAGGACTCTGACCCTTGCCATGTGAAACTAGGGAAGTAGTTTCTCCCGTGCACTTCCGAATAGCAGCTAGGGAAGCTAGTTGGGAGAGAAGCTAGTAGGGAGAGCACGGGAATTATGTAGTCGGAGAACAGTGGTAGTTCAATGCCATTGGAGCTCCATCCCAACTCTTGGAACTATTCCACCAGCCCATTCAAAAATCTGTCCGTATCATCACTTCCTAAGCATCGAAAAGTGGAGCCCATCTTCACCCGCAGCATACAAATAGTATATGTAAATTCACAGATTTACTGGTAAACAAGGAGGCAGATTTTGCGCAATTGTCTCTTCTACCCCTGTACTGCAACACAATTTACATCGTTTTATATTAATCTTCATTAGCTTAATGTAGCTTACTTGAATCGTACATTGTCTAAAAGCTGCTGAGAAAACAAGATGAGATCTTGAAACATATAACAACTGGAAAGTGAAAAAGATAGATAAAAAACAACAAAGAAATTAAAGATCGATATGTAAGTGGCAGGAAGTTCCCATGAGTATTAGAAACCCTAATGAGATCATGACAGCTGATGCTGTGAGCACCGGTTCATTCCACCCTGTTCGTGATTGTGACCCTTAGACGAGTATAGCCGTGGTAACAATCCCAGTATTTAATTTGCACATGGATTGCTTTGCTGATTTCAACTTTGCCGAGGAATTCGTCGAGGCCATCGGGCGCTGCGAGGAGTTGTCTTGAACTGATCGCCTGAAAGTGAAATTTTCAGCAATCACTAAATTTTTTTCAGATGGAAATTTGAGACTTACATATTTTTTTGCACCGTGTACCATTGTGGGCGAATCTTCTTGGCTATTCGAGGGCCAAGAATCGTTGTGCAGAATGCTTTACGGTACTTGGCGGAGAACAAGTTGTACAATATAGGGTTGATGGCGGAGTTGGAGTAATAACAGCACCCTTAACACATAAATATTGGTCCTGGATAAATTTCCGAGAATAAAGGTGAAATTTGACAATTTTTACCTGAGATATAGTAAACGAGAGAAAATAGAGTCTCCACTGCCGGTGACACGTTGCCTTCATAGTGACTAATAAAGAGTGCGAGAAGACGTTGAATGTGGAAAGGTAACCAGCAGATGAAGAACGATACCACCACCGAAACTGAAAAACGATCCTCATGAGACATTCTGCACGGGTGCGAGACAGTCTGTTAAGTGAATAGAAGGTTTTTGGAGCTCAGAGCATTTATGTAAAAAGCGCAGACTGAAGTTGACCCATTCTAGCCCCCCCCCCCCCTTCCCTCACAATGTGTTCCAAACGCCAGGCTCATATCAAGGAAGTGTTGCACGTAACAAGCGACGTGGGACAATAGAACGAAAGTTTCTAGAATTTTGAAAAAAAAACTGATACTAGCGAGCTACATTCTGAACTTGGGTCGGAGGCATGGAAAAATCGCATCATGAAATCGCCAAAGCAGAACAGCAGAATGGCGGCGGCCCAGGTTTTCTTGAGATACTGTCATTTTGGAGCAGTCGTAATCATGTCTGCATCTATACATAGAACACAGCACAAGTTAGCAGTTGTTTCAAATTGAAGTATCCCACGAGAAACCCGTCCTATGCCATGCTCAAAAGCCACGCCTACTCCGTCTCAGGGATAAGGAGTGTACATTGGCCAAATACTCGTCAGATTACCAGATAGTTCACCATTTCCAGTTTGCTTGCAATGTGGGACCTAGACGATATCGTGAGTGTGTGGAAAATCCTGAATACAGTATAGCCCTGATACAAAAGGCGTTGAGTAGGAGGGCGGGGTTAGGAAAGTTTCAGCTAATTTTTGTGTCGACTTCATTCTCTGGTAAGTAGGTAGTGCCTCCGCCCACCGTCCCTAAATTCGGCACCAAATGCACACAGGTACGCCAGTGTTAGGAGTGGTAATTCAGAAGGGAGGGCAAAAAGGTCTTGCCCCGATTCAAGATGTGCTGGCCTACACCTCTTTCCTTGACAGCGCCCTCTATTAGATTTTCTTTGCAGCTCGACACTTTACGAATCCTTACAAAAAGCGTCTGACGACTGCTTAATTAAACTGCTGCATCAGCAGCTGCAAAGTCTATACAATTTATCTCGGTTATTTGCTTTCATCCGTGTCTTGAGGAAATCCCACAAAAAAGACGCCGCTCTGCAGATAGTCCGCAGTAATTGAAGGAGTGGACCAGTGCCCTGGGAACCCGTTCGCTTCATATGAAAACCACTTTAATGAGTGATCAGTCAAAACCGACAATCCCTTAATGTTCGTGAAAATTTTAAAAACGTAGCTTTGACTAAAATTATTGAAGCTCATGCATCCCAAATGATCCAAATCTATTCTGTTTGCGAAAGCATTGCAAAAATACTTGGTCGAGCGGATAAAAAAAATGCATGTCCCGAACACTGATAGCACGCTTTCAAAGGCTCAAGACTGATCAGAGATGCACCCAAATTTCCCCACGATGAGGGGCTGGCTGCGTCCCCGAATTGAACATGGCAACGGCCAAGGTTTCCGTTAGTTACTTTTATTCTGGAACAGTTTTCATCATGCCTTTGTCCAACATAACGCAGATGACCGCTGCCTCGAAACGAAATATTTCACGAGTCGCCCATCTATGCCATGTTCAAATGCACCCCTACTCCGTTTCACTGATAAGCAGTGTACAGGGGGGGGGCAAAAAAGTCACTTTTCTTCATTGACTTTCGAGGCGCTATAAATTACACTTTATTAAATTCTCATCGGACATTTTCACCACCATATTAAATACTATCATGACACTCCGCCACAGCCTTCTGGACGAGCGCCATCGAGAGATTCTGGCACGCGACCGCGATGTGGTGCCTGAGATCAGCGAGATAGTCGATTTCTCCGCCACCGTAGACCACCCTATTGAACTCCGCCCGAACCGGGTAATTGAGGGGATTCAGGTCAGGTGACCTACTTGGATATTCCATCTTTAGGTACTCAGCCCCCTTCCATTCCAAGTAGGCGAGAGTTTCTCCAACGCCCTTCGATTCCATGTGGTGGCACCCAATGCTGTAGCAGTACAAAGTTTCCAAGAAGGTACGGGCGACGACATGTGAGGAGGATATTCTTCACGAGTTGCTCAATGTAACCGCCAGCGCTCACCTTATGTCCGGGGTCCACGAAGAAAATATTGGTCTTCCCATTCCAGGTACGTCCGGTCCATACCATCAACCCGCGCCTTGACGACTGTGGTGAAGATGATGTCCTAGACCGTGGCGACGTTGTCGGAGCTGCTCGATGTTGGAGGTCATCCAGATCGAGAGTACTGGTCTCCAGGTAGCTATCCATGGGTGACTCCATACTAGAAGTTTCGCAGCTGTTTGGAGGTGACATGAATTCCAAAGGTCTTCTCCAGTCAGGCTGCGACTGGAGATGACTTCATATTTTGGTGTACATGAAGGTGATGGGCGAGAGCCAGCTCCTGCTTATAGAGGAACATCTTGGGTATCTTCCGCCCTGGTACTCGTATCCACGTCCTCTGTCTGGGCAGCGAAAACTTTGCTGATATGTGACTCGGTCGAAGTGACTTTTTTGCCCCCCCTGTATATTCCACGTTCTTGGATAAAAACACCTCCCTATGTGAAAATGCACAGGTCCCAATCACATACGGGCGGAGGGGGGAAGGAGAAATCCGTGTAGAAAATTGTCAAAGGCTTAGGAATCGGCTTATGAGGAGAGAGGGGTGGTTTTGCAGTTCGTTAGCTTCTTGTATAATACTTGTTCCTGTCATCTTGCACGTCTAACCTTCATGAGACCTGCAGACTTGTCAAATGTGATCAAAGTTGCGAGTCATTGCAAAGCTCTATGAAAATTTACAGGTCTTCACATAAGACATTGGTAATGATCGATAGAAGCAAGCAAAATGCCCCACCAAGCTGAACTGAGTCCGACTCATGTAAGGACCCGCCTCAAATGTGGGCATCCGCCCTCACGTCAACACTTGCGTTTCTCTAGCGCTTCTGGTTGCAAAGAGAGAAATGTGTTTCAATTAGAACATTTTTTGGCAGTTTCTTCTACCCTTTTTTCACTGGTAAGTCCATTGGAGCGTACAAGTTGATTGTCCTCCATCAGCTTGGACTGCGGTCATTTACACAAACAGCTCACTTACTCAGCATCTTTATAACAGTAGGCGTTGATTTCGATCTTGTCGGATTCTTTTCGGCAGAAAGTAAGGAATCCGTGGAAGCGATACGTGCACCGATTTGACAGTACATTAAAGTGATAAGAAAGGCTGAAAGGATGAGATTAAGAAATTTTCCACGATTACCGATCACGTCGTCACTCACCAGGTGCCATGAAAAAGGCAATGAAAGCGAAATATATGAGACGTTTCTGCTGTTCCGGTTGACCAACGTCCATCGCGCAGAACTGCGTGTCCTTCACGGTATTGTGATCGTCTGACACCTTAACGGAATCTGATGAAGAAGAGTTTCAATTGGAGTGTAGACTATTTTCATTCAATGATCTCGGCAGTTTATTAATACCAGTAAGCAGTAACGAAAAATACTACTCACTAAATTCGCACCGAAAATGGGGATGGGGGGGCACGTGAGTTCAGGGACTTGAGTTCTGTTTTTGTTTCGCACGTGCCCTTAGACGGAAAGTAAACAACTCGCGATATCCGCCTTTTTTCGCATGTGCCAAATCAGGCATACAAGCCAGCAAAAGCAAAAAAGTCTCCAAGCAAAAATAGAAAGGTGAAAGTCTCACAGTGTCCGTCCACGGTTGATTTACACCCCAATCTGGTAGTGGCAGGAGATTGATCTTCACGATGAAGCCCATTGGCAAAGCAGAAATGGCGGAGACTGTCCACATAAAGATGATAGTGAGGCTCCAGCCGGCTCGTGAGATTTTTGGCGATCGACTTGAGATCGAATGGTGGCTGAAACAAAACCACCCGTCGCTAGGTAAAATGCGCCCACAAACATGAAAATTGATTTTGTTCGGAGCGCACGGAAACCAGAATAATTGCTTATTCACAACATAGTTCATAATATGGGACGATGCGACAATTAGCTGAAATTTGGACCTTGAAAATATACTCACCTGTGCTTTTAAAGCTAGTAGCGGCACGAGCCAGTGCAGGTGGGCGGTTGTCGCCAGTGTCATTGGTGGAAGGGCTGCGAGAGAGCTTTTGGTCGCATCTCATCTAACCCTTCTGCCAATTGACGTTGACGACAACCCCCCACCCCCAGGGTTTAGGGAATACGGCGGTCATTTTGGTGACAGAACCGAATGGACGTCATGTTCCTAATTTTGGCCCTGAGCAGTCCATGACAGAGAAAGTAAAAGGGTTCTATTGTGCTGGTAGTACAATAGTGCTAACAAGAACCTCGATATGTTTTTTCAAAGCTTGAACGTGCACAAATGAAATATACTCCTACCATATGGCTAGCCATCGTTCCACTGTAAATGAGCAGATGACAAGTATTGAGGCGTAGCTGGTGAATTCGATGAGATACGCTCTTCCTTTGCAAATCCATTCGTGAAACTCATACGGATAGGCATAGTCGAGAACTCCGTAGAGTTCCATGGGAAGACCTGAATATGTCATAAAGTGACTGTGGAGAAAATAGAGGACCGATCAATGAGCGTACCAAGAAAAAGGACCACTAGATCCGAAAGCGCTAAGCTGAACAGGTAGAAGTTGGTGTGAGTGTGCATTGACTTGTTTCGGATGATCACTACGCACGTGCAGATGTTTCCCACGGTTCCAACAATGAATATCAGGGAATAGGTGATCACCGTGGGAATGACGATCGCTTTCTGAAATGAATTTTATTTTGATTTAACACTATTGCGGGTGAAAGTTTATAGTGAGCTTCCTTCCCCCTTGAATTCAGGCAAGAAATTTTATCGGTCGTCAA